TATATCAAGCAAACAACACTCAAAAAAGAGCAGGAGTGGCAATACTAATCTCTGACAAAATAGACTTTAAAGTAAAATCCACCACAAAGGATAAGGAGGACACTATATAATGATTAAAGGGTCAGTACACCAGGAGGACATAAACTATAATAAATATTTACGCACCCAATGACAGGGCTCTTCTTCCTTGGTGGTGGTAAGATCCGCTCCTTCCCGCCTCTGGAATGGCTCATTTTAAGCCTAACCCGTTGCCGTCGAGTCGATTCTAACTCATAGCAACCCTATAGGACAGAGTAGAACTGTCCCCCAGGTTTTCAAGGGGCAGCTGGTGGATTCGAACTGCCAGCCTTTTGGTTAGCAGCCACAGCTCTTAAGCACTGTGCTACCAGGACTCCTATTTTAAGCCTAGTGGATGGAAAAACTGACCAGTCCCCTTGGTAGGCCACAGTTACCTTATTTGCACAGTCCCACCCAATCACTTGGGGGCAGGGAGTTATAAGACAGTGGCAAGAAAGGCCACACAAAAGCAATCCATCCGCACCACAGGCATTAGGAGTCTGGTTGTAGTAGAGGCACTTGTTCTTGATAAGTTTTTGTGCAGTATTTTATATTGTTCTGACCAGTCAGCAGCATTATTCTCACAAATACACGATCAGATGAGTTTTTTCATCCCACTGCCTCTGCCTACCAAAATAGAAGGTAGAGAACATTCACAGCCTATTCTGGGGGCAGAGGGTCAGGATTGCTGAGAACGTGCCTTGCACAGGAAGCAGGAGTGATGGGGCTGGCTGGGGCCTCACTCCATGACAGTGGGCTGAGGTCCTCTCCCTGTTGGCCTCCCCTGTAGTGTCCATCTCTTCCCTTTTCCATACTCCTCATTCAGCCTCCATGGCTTCCCACCTTGCTCCTCTGTGGACTCCCTGCTTTAGTAGGAACCTGGCCAACTCTGCTGAATTCCCTGCATTTCCCTCCTGTCTTAGTTATCTAGTGCTGCTATAATAGAAATACCACAAGTGGATGGCTTTAACAGACAGAAATATTTTCTGACACAGTCTAGTAGGCTAGAAGTCCGAATTCAGGGTGCCAGCTCCAGGGGAAGGCTTTCTCTGTCGGCTCTGGAGGAAGGTCCTTGTCATCAATCTTCCCCTGTTCTAGGAGCTTCTCAGTGCAGGGACCCTGGGTCCAAAGGACACACTCTGCTCCTGGCGCTACTTTCTTGGTGGTATGAGATCCTCTTGTCTATCTGCTCGCCTCTCTCTTTTATGTCTCAAAAGAGATTGACTCAAGATACAACCTAATCTTGTAGATTGAGTCCTGCCTTATTAACATAACCGCCTCTAATCCTGTCTCATTAATATCATAGAGGTAGAATTTAAAACACATAGAAAAATCATATCAGATGATAAAATGGTAGACTATCAGACAATACTGGGAATCATGGCCTAGCCAAGTTGACACACATTTTGGGGGGCCACAATTCAATCCATAACACCTCCTTTCTACCATGAGACATCTGTTACTTCATTGGGTTCTGTAACTGAGAATGTCTGTGTGTCTCCCTCAGCCCCTTTCTTCTTTCTGGTTAGCAGAAGTTTCCATCTTTATTCTTCTAGAGTCTTGTTCTTGCCTCTTCCATTTTTCCTTCTGTTTTCTTGCCTCTTTGTCTCTCTTTCTCTATTAGTTCCTTCTTCTCTACCTCAAGGTATCTCAGGTCTTTCTTAAACCCCTTTGCCCTCAAGTCAATTCCAACTTATAGCAACCCTATAGGACACAGTAGAATGCCCCCTTGGGATTCCCAAGGCCATAATCTTTACAGGAAGGAGCCCTGGTGGCGCAGTGGTTAAAGCACTTGGCTGCTAACCAAAAAGTCAGCAGTTTGAACCCACCAGCCACTCTGTGGGGGAAGGATGTGGCAGTCTGCTTCTGTAAAGATTATAGCCTTGGAAATCCTATGGGGCAGTTCTGTTCTGTCCTGTAGGGTTGCTATGAGTAGGAATTGACTCGATGGCAACGGGTTTGGGTTTGGAATCTTTACGGAAGCAGATTGCCACATCTTTCTCCCATGGAGCTGCTGGTGGGTTTGAACCTCCAGCCTTTGAGTTAGCAGCTTTCTCAGCCATAAAAAAAACCCATCACCTCCCAAGCTCCCATCCCGTCTGTTTCTCTTCTAAGCATCAGATCCTCAGACACCACTCCCACTGCCTCGGCTTCCTCGTTCATCACTCAGCAACACCAGCGGAGCGCCTACCATGGATAGTGTGGATAGGCCTTGTGCTGGTGTGGGGGACCCGCGGACAGTGAAGATACTGTCCCCACCCTCACGAAGCTCATGGGTACGGCTTCACCTCTTGTCCTTCCAGCCCCAGCACTGAGTTGTAGCTGGCCTCTAGTAGCCAGGGGCTCCTGCTCATGTATTTATTCAACAAAATGTCATTTTGTGCCTGTTGTATGCCAGGGACTTGTCTGTTCATGAACTAAAAAGACAAAGGTCCCTGACCTCATGGGGCGTACATTCCCTTCTTTCTTTCTTTTATGATTCACTCTTCCTTTCTTGTTTGGTTGGGCTTTTCTTTAGTGAACATTCCTGGGTGTCTGCCATATGCCTGGCACCAAGCCAGGTGCTAGGGGGTGAAGATGACCCTTGGGCAGAGGATAAAGACAGCCCCAGGGAAGCAAAGGGGGTGGTAGGAGTGCCCAGGGCAGGTACTGACCACCTGGCTGTGCCTTCACCTGCAGGTGCCCTCCTAGCTGCCTCCAGGCCTTGCTCCTGGGAAGAGGTAGGACTAGGAAGAGCAGTGAGAGGGCATCCAGCCTCAGCTCTGCCACTGAGAGTTGTGTGGCCTCACACGAGCCACTTCCCCTCTTTGGGCCTCTGTTTCCTTATCTGAAGAGGGACAGAATTGGCTTGGGGATCCTCAAGGTCCCCCCAGGCTTCCTGAATTGGAAGATTTTGATCCAGAGGCTATGAAGCCCGTGCAGGAAAGCCGGGCAGCTCCTGGCCTACACACTGCATGTCACAGGAGTCCAGAATCGGGCTCTGGGGCTGCCAGGGTTCCCTCACCTGCCTCTCACCTATCCAGTGCGTCAGCCAGGGGCGGCCTCCCCACTTCCGGCCCCCTTGCCCTGACTCAGAACCACCTGCGTCAACGCTGGCAAAGGTGAGTTCCTTGGGAGGCTGTTGTCAATTGGAAAGATTATTTGGAGGTTTACTTTAGTTTTAAAAATTTATATTTGATTTACTAAAATACAAATAAAGCTTCTAATGTTGATTTTTGCATCTTGCAATTCTGTTTATACGTCTAGGAAATTTTAGTAGCTTCTTGTTAGAGGTCTTTGAGATTAAGGTTTGGACCCACTTAGTTAAATGCCTTTAAACATTTTAAACTGAATTTATAGGTTTAAACCTTTTAAAATGTTTTATTTATCTGAAGGGCAAACAGAACGTTCCCAAGTCCTTAAGTAAGTATATTAACTAGTAAATTAAACTTATAAATATGTTGGTTCTTAAGTTCTCTTAAAGACAGTCCTGTTACAGAATTTCAACTTAAAAGTCACAAATCTGAGTCAGTTTCTCAACTATATAAGGCAGACCCGTTACTCTAATGGGCCACATTTTCTTTTATTTATTTATTTAATTGTTGTACTTTAAGTGAAAGTTTACAGTTCAAGTTAGTTTCTCATACAAAAATTTATACATACATTGTTACATGACCCTAGTTGTCTCCCTATACTGTGACACTACAGTCCTCCTTTCCACCCCTGATTTCCCATGTCCATTCAACCAGCTCCTAACCCTCTCTGCCGTCTCATCTCACCTCCGGACAGAAGCTGCCCTTTTAGTCTCATGTATCTGCTTGAGCTAAGAAGCACACTCTTCACGAGCATCATTTTATGTCCCACAGTCCAGTCTAATCTTTGTCTGAAGACTTGTGGGCCACATTTTCTTAAACCATTACAAATACTGATCTTAAATACCAAATATGCACAGATTTTTTTGACACACAAAAGCATTAGTACTACAGGTTTGACTCACATTTCTTCTTCT